GTATGTCCAATTTGAGTCACCATATGAGAATAGTGGTTCCTCTAGAGAGAGAGGGAGGTAAAGCCTCTTGTGCATAAGATGTGATTTTCTCATAGAGAAGAGCGCTTCTTTTGGACAGAAACATTGTGATGATGCATCTTTTGGACTCTCGAAGATTGAGATGCTCATTTCTTGTAGAGAAGCGATTCCTATTGAGATTTTGGGTGGTTTTCCTTTTAGTGAGATAAAGTCTCATTTGCTCTCAAAGTTGTTCTATTCCTAGATATTGGTCTAGTTATGGAATGGAGATGAGAGATTGGCAGTGGTGCTGTTTGGGAGAGCAGGTTTAAAAAGATTTGCTCGACTTGGGTTTTGTCGAGGTTTATTTCAAAATCTTTTATGTAACTTTCATTGGTATAGTAGATTTATGTTTGTCGTGCCCGTGGATGTAGCCATATGAAGTGAACCACGTAAATCTTTGTGTTCTTGTAATGTGTATTTCATGTTTTATTTTTCATATTTTATTTGCCAAATATTAACCCATTGGGTTTAAAGCTTCCGCACGAATAACAAGTGGTATCAGAGCACAACAATATAAACCTACATTTTATACTATAAATCGAGTTGGGTCAGGTCTGGTTTGGATCAGACGCCTCCCAATCATATGGGTCGGATCTAGGTCCCCTCAATTTGAATGGATAGGTCCGGTCCACCTTGGACTTGTGCGGTTGGCTCCGGGTCTAGCTCAGCCTGGAACCAACCCAAACCTCGTACAAAACCAACACAAATGGCATGAGCGGAATCACATGTACTTATGTATAGAATGAATGAATTTGGTAACAAGCGGATGAGGTTGAATTTGTTTTAACTTTGTTTTTGTAGGTGAGTCAGTAGGGAGAAGGCTCTTACCCTAGTAAGAATTGAGCCTAGGCGTAGCATTGCAAATCGTCAAGCGCTAACCAATTAAGCCCAGCCTCTTTTTCCAAATTTGTTTACTTTGATACATGGGATCTCACTGGTGACTCATGATCGTCTTATTTATAGTTTGGGACGTCTACATTACCCTCGAGCTGTAATGAGAAATTTGAACATAGGGTTCTTCGGTGAGTTTGGCAGTTAAGGTGTTTAATGCTTGGCATTAGTGTTCCAAAACTCGGATAGTTGGGGCTAATTGTCCACCCCGCATATCCGTGTTGGATCACTTGATTGCTGATCAACGATTCAGATTGGTCCGAATTGGCTATCCAAAAAATTAAAGGAGTTTATGAGGTTGGATATAGAGAAGGTATGAGAAAACATTAAATAAACTTAGTAAAAAAAAGAATGGAAAAAAAATAGAGGGGGGAGTTTTTTTTTTTCCTTCGGCAGGGGGGGCGATTACTGGTTTCCAATGTTTTAAAACACTACTCTAAACCAATGTAAAGTTCATGTTGTAGTGGCTGAAGAGGACGATGCCTTTGGGTTTTTTGACGAAGGGAAAGTAAAGCCGTGAATCCTTTGTGTATTATGTGTCACAAGGTTGTATTCCCTCGAGTGTATGGTCTCTTGGGTGAGAACCTTATCTTTAACTCATTTGGTGATCTAGAGTGGATTCTAAATTTTGGATGGAGAAAACACCTTAAATAAGATTCAAGATTTACTCCAGGTAAGTGCATGGTATATTCTTCTGGAGCGCTCAATTTTTTTGTCTAACTTTTGAAGGACATGATTTTCTTTATGTGTATCTCTCGATAACTTGGCATTTATTAAAAGATCTAGCTTTTTGTTCCCTATACGATCAATATTTTCTAATTCTCAAGATTCTATTTTAATTAAATTTAATATGTAAATGAAATCTTCTAATACTAAACATGAGGTCAATGTTATGTGGAATGAAATGACTTACTGTATTGAGAAAGTGAAAAAAAAGGTTTAGAAAAAGACTAGTGGGGAAAGAAATTTTGTTAAAGAAACTTAGTGGTGGAGTAATGAAGTTCAGAAAGCCACTAGCGAAAAACGATCATGTTATAAAATTTGGTAATATAATAGAAATAAGCAAAACTTAGAAGAATATAAAAATGCCAGGAAAAACACTAAGTAAATAGTAAATAAGACTAAACTTAAGGTATTTGATAATCTATACAGCAAACTGGGAACAAGAAAAGGTGAAAATGGTGTTATCGAATTAAAAAAAATGAGATAGAAAAAGTATATGGATCTAGACCATATTAAATGCATTACGAGTGATGATCAAATGGTCATGGTGAATGACGAAGATGTCAACAAAAGGTAGAGATCTTATTTTTAAAAAAATTAAATGATGAACACAATGGGAACACAACGGTTGAAGGAAACGTTGGCATAAATGAGAGTGGATGTCATAGATACATTTGTAGGATTAAGATATTGGAAGTAAAAGAAGCTTTGGAGAGGATGAAGATATGAAAAGTTTTAGGACTAGATGGTATACCAATACAGGTTTGGAAGTACACGGGGGAGATTGACATTGACTGGCTGACCAAGCTGTTCAACAAGGTGTTAAGAATAAAGAAAATGCCACAAATAGAAAAAAAAATACCTTGGTACTTAGTCACAAGAACAAAGGGGACATACAAAATTGTGCGAACTATCCAGGGATCAAACTTATGAGCCATGCTATAAAGCTGTGGGAGAGAGAGAGAGAGCAATCACCGACTAAGGCATGAAATGAGTATATCAGAATACCAATTTGGTTTTATGCCAGGGAGGTTGATAATTGGGGCTATTTTCCTACTTAGACAATTAATAGAGAAGTTTAGGGTGAAGGGAAAAGACCTCTGCATGGTACCTATTAATTTAGATAAAGCTTATGATAGAGTACCCCGATATTTAATTTGGTGGGTGTTGGAAAAAAAAAGAGTCGTCAAACTTGGTGAAAGATATCCACTAGGGAGCTCTAACTAGTGAGCGAACAACTAGTGGAGAGACGAGTAAGTTTTCAAGGATAATAAATCTACATCAGGGGTTGGCATTGAGCCCATGCCTCTGTCTTTGTTATTGATGACTCAGCAAGTTCTTGAACCCATACCATGGTATATGTTGTTCGCTTTTGGCATAGTTTTGATTGAAGAGACCTGAAGTAGCGTCAACACAAAGTTAGAACTTTGGAGGGATGCTCTCGAATCTAAATAAAATTAGTGAGATGCAGAAGAGTATAAGGAATACAAGTTTAATAATAGTAAGAGCAGAGGCGGGGAATTAGTTAAGATTGATGGCTAAGAAATACCAATAAGAATATACTTTTGATATCTTGGGTCGATAATCCAGAAAAATGAAGAGATTGAGGAAAATGTAACACATAATTAGAGGGGCGGGAGATGGACATGTGCAACTGGAGTTTATGTAATCACATCATAATAATGAAGGTGAAGGGAAAAATATATATCGGACGACGATGAGACTAGCTTTTCTTTATAGGTGGAATGTAGCTGAGATGATGATGTTGAAATTGATGAGTGGCATGAGAAGAAGGGATAGATTTCGAATTGAATAAATTCAAGAGAACATAGATATAGCTCGAATAGGTGATAAGATGAGAGAAAGCAGGCTTAGAAATCTATAACCAATATCAAAAACCATGCTCCATCCACAACCAAGGTTTTAAAATTCATCGCCAACGACATTAAGCAGGAAACATAGTACATAAGGGTTGGCAATGGGGCTGTTTGGCCCTGAGAAACTAGGGCCTAAGCCACATAATGTAGCTCGAGGTTAGGGCTGGCCAGGCCATGATAGAGTTGGCCCCATCCATTCTTGTATTTTCCTTATTAAGCCATACCCGGCTGGCTATGACCATGGCCAGCCAGGGCTAATCCAGGGCCCCTTTGGCCTGGTCAAAGACGGCCCGACCCAAGTTGGGTCCGTCCAATAGTGACTAGGCTGGGCTTGGGTCAGGACTCTTAGGCCTAGCCTGTTGCCGGCCCCAGTTACATAATTTGAGGTCCGAGGCATGAAGAAAGTAAGTCTTTTTACTTTGTGCAATGGCACGTTAGATGTTACATTTACTTTGTGCAATGCACATGCCATTTGTAGAGAGAAATGCTAATTTTAGATTTGAGGAACTTTGTAAGGGTTTAGCTTGTTCCATAGGATTCGAACATTCTTACTAATTAACTGTACACCTCTCTCTCAGAGAATTGTCATGCATAATTCTCAGATTTATTTACCATTGATGTAATCAGATTCTCCATCATGAAAGCACCATTTATGAACTAATACACCACACAATATGGCTATATTAAGGAAGTGGCTTATAGAGAAAATCCATCAGTAGTTGCTCCAATCCTCGATCGGAGACGCTGTTAAAGCCATCCGAGTTCTTGTAAAGGAGAGCCATGGTTCTTCCAAAGTTTATAAGTGCACGAATAACAGAGTCAGGCACAATCCCTTTCAACTCAAACAGTTGCCATTCCAATTCTCGAGTGCTTGATTCGATTAAACCCTGCAAATGAGCCATGGCTTCGGCCTTGGTGCTCCCGGGGTGATCTTTCATGAAGCATCCGATGCTTGATGCCATCTTGCCTGAACGCTCTTCCCTATCCGAGGTTACAATGTCATTGCTAAGTCGGCAAATGCGTCCAATGTGATAGAGAAATCTTGAGCATTGACCCACCAACCGTAGCATCTCGTCAGATATGACTTCTCCTATGATGAATATCGGACTCAAGACGGTGACGCTGGTAGAAATGCTAAGGTTAGCCACCATTTGATATTCCTCCAAGGAGGGTATGCACCCCGAATGCCTCCATTCTGCTTCCTTTCACTGATAGAAATGAAAGAAAGAAAACAAATACAGTTGTAGCAATGTTTTGTTGTTTAAAAAACAAACATGAATCAAATGAAGTAAAATGTATCTCAAGATGAAAATGTCTTGTTCATTGAATCTCATTGTTCCCTAATGCTGCACATGCATGCTAAGCACTACCTTTGGAGTGTATTACTGGTACCTTTACTCCATAAGGAAATAAGCTCCACAATTAGGAGAATACACATTGAAGTACATCTGATCTTAGTGACCCATAAATGCCATAAAACTATCTTGCAGTTTGGTGAATTCTCCAGGAATGTTCAGTTCCAACATAACGATTATATTTGAATAGATAAATGTCATCAAGTATTAAATGTAAAAATTCAATGGTCATGTTTGTTATATTCATAAAATTTAAAAAATGAACACATTTTTTCGGATTCTGGATCTTTCAGAAGACAAATGAGAATCTTTCACTGTATTTTTATTAATGAATAAGATTACAATCAACTGTGTATTTATAGAGAGGGTACAATCAATACTTACTAAAACTATAGGATACAATTTCTATATAGGTATAGCATACAGTTAGACACTAACAGATCTCAATATCCAGTTGCCATATCTGTTGTAGTTGCCATGTCTGGTCACAATACCATGCATTAGATATAGTGTTTATACAAGCTTTTGAACAAACTCTTTTCAATAATAATTCTTATGCGCATTTTAGTAATCTAAAACGCTTATTGCAGTAGAATTGGGACAAAACCTAGTGAACTTCGATAAGTTTTCTGCAAATCACCAAGTGAATGCTCAAATAAGTAGGACACCTTCATCTATGATCCATCTTTTCTAATTCACCAATCAAGTAGTCTAGTTTTTTGTTTCCATAGAGAGGGAGAGGGAACGTGATGGGATCTCAAAAATCTATGATCAATCTATCCTAATTCACCCTCGTGGAGTTTGAAATAGAAATGGTATTCTGTTTCAAAAATTATAAACATCCATCTTCTCCTTTATAGTCATCACAATACCTTGAAGATTTCTTCAATGAGGACATCTCATGCCTCTGTATCCAAGTGAAGCACAAGTTACATTTATTCATGTTTGTCTAGCTTTGCATGTTGTTCTGTTTAAGAATAGAATATTTTTGTCTTGCTAAAATTCTCATCATGGTTAACGACAATCTTGAAATGGTTAATAGAATTCTGATTGTAGTTAACCTTGGATCTTGATGCCCATTGATCTTTATTATTAGTTTTATTCCTTTTAGCTGCTTCAGGCAATGCCGAAAACAATTATACCTGTTGTTAAATGTTTTCACCATCCTTAATGGTTTTCGTTGTCGTCAACTGTTGTAACCACCATTATTAATTTTCGCCATTACTAACTATGTCATCACTGTTAACTGTTTTTACTCACATCAACAATTTCCATTGTTGTTAACTGTTTTCACCGCTATTAATGTTTTCACTGCTATTTAACAATTTCCACCTCACTGCTATGTAACAATTTCCACCATGGTTAATGGTCGAACTAAATTTTTCGTATGGATTGTTTGGGAGCTTTAAAGCTCTTACTGTGAGCTCTTGTTGCTCAATTATATTAATTGTTTTAGATAACTATTTTGCTTTGAAGCTAAGAAATCCTTAATTCTGATTTTTTGAGACCCCAAAACCAACAAAATAAGTGGACAAAGAATACTTGCAGTGTGGAACATGGGCATGTATTTCTTATGTGCAAAAGCCTCGACACTTGTAGTTGTGCTTTATTTGTATCTGTGCCTATGCATCTTACAAATACACACATGCATGAGCAAGTATTCATGCATAACTGTGCATCTCTGTGTGTGTCAGCACTATTCTTTCTAAAATGATTATGATACAGAGTCAAGTTGTTTAGCTTGAGTAAATATGATTACCACTCCTCTTATTAAGTGAATGACATTGCGCCCTTGTACTGTGCGTGATTCTTCAGCGACATTAATAATTGCTGCATTGAGGCCGTCAAAGAAAACACCCATATGTTTTGGTAGACCGTTGAGTATTGAAGGATCCCATCTAACATCCAAAAACAAGGAGAGAATAAGTACAAGATAAGCAATGTAAAGACAGAAAATAAGAGTTTAACTTTAACCTTTTGTATTAATTCGTTGCAATTTGATTGAGATATTTCTTTCTTTACAAGAGAAAAAGAATTTGTATTTCACATTGTCAAGTCATTAGTCCAAAAATTGTTTTCCATGGAGATTGCTATTGCTACTTTGTATGTGCCTGCAACCATGTTTTTATCATTTGGATAGGCTGGCGTTCCACAAAAAGCCAGTCAAGGTGGCGAGAAGGCAAGCGGATTTGAAAAGAGCAGGCGATCAAGAAGGCGTAGGTGTTTTTACAACATAAACATGGGGAGAGTCAGCAATTCCCTTTAAAAAATAAAATATGGCTTTTTAAGTGGTTATCTACTACAATTTTATTTCACTTTTGTATTAGTGTGGTAAATCTAAAAGGAATATCTGGTAATAATCAAGTCAAGAATGAGTAAGATTTTGATTGGTTTATTTATTTATGAAGTCCCAATAGCTTCTGTCGTTCAAAAAAAAAAGTCCCAATTGCTTCTGGATTAGGAAATAAAAAAATTTCCCACTAATGTTTTGAGGAGAAACTTGCCAATTGATATGAATTAAGATGTGAATAATAGTTAAAAATAGTTATAAATATAATAATTAAAACATAGTTATAATCTTATCAAGTAATATACTGTAGACAGCCTTATATTGATGATGCCTGAATACTACATTCCCTACAAGTATAATATGGGGTAAGCTGCCAACTATCCATCCAATCTACAAGATAATGATCGATCGATGTCAGCCATTGTTTCTTGGTGGAGTGTTGGTTAATTACAGCACCTGTTAATAAGATCAAGGTGGTTTGCCAGTCTGAGGACCCCAAACAACACTCATAGAGAGTGTATATTCCCATTTTGATTAGGAATATAACCAAGTGTTAGTATAATGATGTACCTATGGATTGCCTTAGTTAAGAGCCTCAAATCTTCAGGGCGGTTGCTTTTGAGGTCGTAGATGTCGTTCATAAGAGCGGCCATGGTCCCAAATTTCGTGTACTCGACTCGGAATTTTTTGTATTTTGGTTCATATATGGCAGCAGCTACAGTGAAATAACTCTTCACAACCCCTTCTCTTGCAAATTCAATCTTCGTAAAGCCTGCGTCTTCCCACCAACTTCATTGAATTGAAAAACAAACAAATTCATCATCATCATCATGGCCTTTTCCTAATTAATTGTGGTCGGCTAAACAAATGAAATAAAAAACAAAATCGGCATGTGCTTTAGGAATAAACTAGTTTCTTAATGGATAGGGTAGTATTGTTTTAAGTAAGAACCCAAGAAAACGTATGAGATATAAGTAACTTATTGAAGAAGATGGAGATATTTGGATACTTGTGTTAAGGAATAGGGCCTTAACAATATGCTCCTAGTTTCCATTCAACATAATCACCAAAAAAGATGGAAAATCACAAAATTAGAATACCTAACTACTTCTTGGATCTCTTCTGCATAAAGCTTCTGTAGATAATTAAAGTCAAGTCTTGCTAACTCCAAGTACTTGTGGTTGCTTTCATCACCAGGCCACAATTGTTCAACAATGCTTCTAGACTCCAATCTTGAAAGAAGGTATTCCCTTGGGTATGCTAGGGAAAATTCTATCTGTAAGAAGTGTAAACAAAAGCAGAAAAATTGAGAGCAAAAGTTACTTGAATAAAAAAAATATATGATTTTTGTAAGGGAAATGTTTTTGATAGGGCTGCAGCCCCATCAAAATAAGTAAAGCCCACATTAAAACTTACTAAAAAAAATGCAGTTTTAGCATCGGAAATCCTTCAAATCAATCATCTTGGCCTTGATCATTTTGGTTATGAAAAAAAAAAAGGATTTCAAGCTCTAAAAGTAATGTATATTGTAATATATCATCTAGACCATCCATTTCACTTTAAAAATAAGTGTTCTAGGATCCATATAATCTATACATTTTTTTTAGTTTTAAATTTCATAATCGGTGTTGGAAATTAATTTTAGAGCCACGATGGAGATTTGTAAAGTACTTTCCGGACAAAAATTCAAGGTCAGGCTTTACTTTGTTTTAATAAAGCCAAGGCCTTATAGAAGCTGCATCATTTATGTAATGAGTAATAAATGGCCCTTGTTTTAAAGCTGTGAAATCCATTCCTAAGACAGAAAAAGAAGTTTCTCAATATAGTGCATACCCATCCTGAAATTCTAGAGGGTTTGGGCCCTAGGCTTTGTTTTTATGACCCCCCAACACATGTAAACCCTAGAAAACCTCCCAGGAAAAATATTCCTTTGCAAATCTTAAATTCCTAAGCTATTCTATAGCTATTCTATGGCATTGCATGAGAAAAAAAAATCCAGAAAACCCCCCAAAAAAGAAATATTTGTCAAATCTCAAATTTCTAAGCTATTATCTAGGTATTGCTATTAAACCTCATTTTTATTTATGGAACTGATTTTATTGTGCCTGACGTAGTATTGAATTATCTTAATTACCTTCTAAAAAGTTAATAAGAAAATATGTAATATTTCACAAGCAAAAGCAAATGCATTATTAGTATGTAATGTTCAACCAAGAAGTTAAAAGCATGTAAACTATAATGTTCAACCAAGAAGTTAAAGTATGTATATTGCATTTGTAGTCTACGGTCCACGTGGCTCGCCTTACATGGGAAAGGTTTCTATATTTCCCCTACTGCATAGAAGATATATTCTTCTCCCATCCAGCTATCCAATTTAGATCAAGTGAGCCAATGACCCGTTGATCTAGATCCGATGCCTCAAAGTATTTGGTTTTGTTTTTTTATATAAATTATATTTTTTTTGACAAATAAATACAAATTATACTTTTTAATATTTTTTACAGGTGCAAGTTTAAGAGAGTGGCCGCTCAAAATTTGGTGCCAAAATATTTTGAAAAAAAATTAAAAATAAAATAGTGTAGAGACACAACATTGTGATTAGGGCAATCTCAGCCGTCCATTCAAAATGGATGATTGGATAAGAGGAGGTATATAAGTTTTATGCAGTAGGAGAAGCATAGAAAGCGTCGTCTATGGATGGTGGAGATCAGCTTTTCTACTTTTAATTGCGGATGGAGAACAATGGCTTCAGCCAAACCGTTTACCGATAAGGATCGACATTGGTTAAAGAATGTATACTTGCTCATGCTTACTCCTTCAGGCAAACGACTGGATAAGTACTTTCTAATCTGAAAATTTGGGACCCACTGTACAATCACAACATGAGTATTTTTAAAGAAATAAGAAATGAGTTTTTAAGTCCTTCAACATTTGGATCAGATTACCAACATATTTGTCAGTCTTAGTTTAGTCGTAGAGCATTATTTTTGTGAGGTAGATATATAGAGTGAACGATTTTGCTTTTTTATTTTTAAATTTTTATTTTTTTGGGGAATTATAAAAATTATTCATTTATTTATTTATTTATTTATATATTTTTGTTAAGATTATTAGAAATAAACCCTAAAATTTCTAAAACCTCACTCATACCCGTTTCACCACTATATGTATTTTTTGATAAAAATACTCTGTATGATAGTCCAAGGTCCGTGAAGGCATCACAGTTATAGCGGAATCGTGTTTGAAGCATCAAGGCATGAAAGCACCGTGACGGGTTATTCAACTATCATGGTTTTAATTAAACTGTTATACTATTATGCTTTCAAAATGGAAGATAGAGGTTTATGCGACAGATGAGAGGTTTCCATGTGCGAAATCCGTGATAGTCAAGGTGATCATCACGATTATCTAAGTACCGTGATGGTCCCCACCGTCACGGTCCTAATAGAACCGCGATGACTTAAGCCCCCACATCAATAGTGTTAGAACCCTCCATGACCATCATAGTTCAGGGTTAACATGATGCCTTCACATACCTAAGACTATAGTGAAGGGTGTTTCCATAAAAAAAAAAAAGTGAAAATGGTGAAAATGGGTGTGAATAGGTTTTAAAAAAATTGAGGTTTATTTTTAATAACTTAAAATAAGAGATAGTTTTGGTAATTTCTCTTCTTTTTTTTTTTAATTGGTTGGTGTTGAGAAAGTCACATATCCAAGTTTTGGGGCGCTAAATATACTCCTAGACAATTTTATTTGAGGAAGTAAATGCACGGTACGCTGTGCTTGTAACCTTTAAGCTACAATATATTTGCATTTTGCAACTCGGATGCGGAGTAGTACACTGAGAAGTTTAAAAGTGAATTCCATGCGTGCAAAAGCATTGGCTAGAAAAAAGAAGTTTTATATCCACCGTCCATCGTTGAGACATTTGGATGATGCCCCTTTGTTGAATGCTATTAACCCATACACCAGTTAGGGTATATATTTTGTAGGGTAATGATCCTTTGTTTATGTAGCAGGGGTGGCAACCAGGTCGGGTCAACCCACCTACTTTGCTGGTTGACCTGAACTAAGTCCAGATCTGGGCAGTGTTGTCAAAGTTGTTTTAGAATCTTTTTCGGTATAATGGGAAAAGTGAAGCAATTCGGTGTTTCAATTGATTCGGAGGAAGATTTCAAAATTATTTAAAAAATGTAATATAAATAAAGTATGGGATTGTCTACAAAGAAATCATTTATCTTTTGTACGTGGAAGTCACAATAATTTCTACTTATTAGATGTAAAAGTGAATACTTGGGATGCGTCATAAAGTCCAAGAATTTTTTTTTGGATTTTTGTGTCTATTCAATGACCCACTTATAACCACCCATTTTGAAATTTAAGGGGCAAAATGATACCTCTATATACAAAGGATAATTGGTCTCTTTGTAGATAATCCCATAAAGTATATATTTATATATAAAAATATATTAAAATAATAAAAATAAAAATTTTAAAATAAAAAATAATAGAAGTAAAGGCAATGTTGTAAGTTAGATGAAGATTATTGTTGAATGGTGATTGAAAAATCACTTTTGGGATGCTTTTGTTTTTTACCATTTGTTTGAGGGCTTTTTTTGTCACACAATAGTACAAATTAGGAGGCTTGTATAAAAGCCAAATAAGGGGATTTTTGAGTTACACGATTGTCACA